TTAGAGATACAATCAGAAACGAATGTAAAAGAAAATTTTTTCGTTATTCTTTTATAAAAAGATATTTTCGGATGATTAATGTTAGTTATATTGAAAATAACGAAAATACAACTATTTCCTTGAAGAATTTAAGAGAGTAAATGCTGGAAATATTTGTAAATCAGTCGATTTTTACTTGAATTAACTTTCTCTTTTATATTAGTTTGATTCTAACACTTGCTTTGTATTTTATTTGAATTTAATAAAGAATAAATAGAGCAAAATTGTTAATCAATTGATAAATTTTAATTATAATAATTATAAAGAACATATATGGCTACAATATAACTCAATATTTAGTAATATTTTGATAATACCTACCTGAGTGTACATAGCCGACTGGCTATGTGTACTCAAGTGTACATAGCCAGTCGGCTATGTGCACTCGAGTGTACATAGCCAGTCGACTATGTGCACTTGAGTGTACATAGCCAGTCGGCTATGTACACTCGAGTGCACATAGCCACTTCCTTATTTAAATAGATGCTTACCTTGATATAATATGGTATGAACAATAACTGCAGTAATTGCAGCAAACGATATACCATAAGAAAAAGCAAATATTGGTGTCATTCGAAGTTCACCTAAAACAATATATGTAATCGATAGTGTGTAAGTCTTAGGACAAAATATTTTCTCATTTTTCAGTTACTAAAAGACAGACAAGTGGATAGAATCAGAGTCGGAATTTTTCGCAATTCAAATTCTCCTTCCGGAGTAAGATTGAACAACTATCAGTAAATTTTAGCGCTGTTCTTAGTTTGTGTCTTGAAACAACTTCAAATCAACATTATTGTAGGGTATTGAATTCTGTACAAAATGAGACATTGCAATAAACGAACTTTCATCTATGCGTTCCCATTAAACAGCTACTTTCTATGGAAATTTACAATGATAAAAAAAATCGTTCTTCCAAAAATTGCTTTTAAAATCGATCGTGCAAAATAAAACAGAAAAATAAATAGGACTCTGTGTAGAACAAACTAAGTCATTAAAAAACTGTTTTCATATTTTGCATTTGATAGATTTTAATCGAAATACAAAATTGACCAAAATAGTATTCTGTATAATCACCATTGTTTTGAGCTTTTTGAAACAATCTGATGATAGTTGTTCAATCTTATTTCAGAAGGAAATTCTAAATATGTACTCGCAAAGAGTGACAAAAAAAATCTGCTTCTGGCTCTAATCAGCTATCTTTAAGTGACCAAAAAATGATTGAATATTCTCTGCAAAGATTCTTGCACCATAGATTATACATACTACATATTAATACTTACAACTAAAATTGAGTGTATGACAGCTCCATATCAACCATCTAACTCTTATTATATGCATTTGAATTTTTGAAAACCTGATCTTATCCTTTCCAATATATATGTGATAGCGTCATTTCAGTTCACGTGTATAACTCAGCTTACGTGACATAAATTGGAGCTCTCAAAAACTAATTGGATAGGATAAACGTGCTTTTCAATAATTCAATTAGCATAAAAGGAACAGGTCATCAGACTTGTTGATATAGAAAAGAACTGATTTAGAATCATTGAGCTGTGAGATATATCATAAACCTAATTAATAGCGACATACCATATTGTTTATAGGCAGTTTCATTTAAACGAAGATTTGAATTGAGTACAGCAGAAATATTATAAAAATGTCCATTTTCATTAAACACTCGAACACTAACAATTGGTAAAGTTTTCGAATTCCATAAATTGCTATAATATGCAGCCGGTGCTATTATCCATGCTAAGACAACAAAACCAATGAGAATATTAACTTGAGCCCTAGATTGAATAATCAAACATGAATATAATATGAAATTTTTGTTTTTTTTTTTACCAAAATGGTACAACAATAGGTGAACCAAGAAATGCTACCCATGCATTCCAATCTAATTCAATTGAACCAATTCCTAATCCATAAATACCAGTAAGTTGCGAAAGAAGAATATTATCAGGTTTAATCATACAAATCCAAGAGAAAGCTGATAAAACTGGAAATATATAACCAGGAAACCAATACCATAAAAATTGAAAAAGAAATGCTAAGAAGAAAAATTTTAAACGAGACATTCTCCAATGTGATCTTTCATTATCATCTTCATTATCTTTATCATTATGTAAAGTTCGAAAAAGTGCACAATTAACAAGATTTGCTGGCCAGATCATAGCTGCTGGCCAAACAAGAAATCTTCTCATTATACCAGCCATTCCATATCCTAGAATTTGTGATGTTATAACAAAAATAATACCAATACCAGGATGTATTGTTCGTTTATAAAATAATCGTTGAATAGTAACTACATCAATCGCATAAGCTGTACCCTATTGGAATTACAGAAAAAAAAAATTTCTTTTATATATTTCATAGATGAACAACTCACAGCTGCAGTAGCAGCCATTGTTGTAATAATACAGTGTTCTTTAACAGTAAATGGACCTGGATTAAAAGAAAAATTCCATCGAAAAATTCTAAATTTTCTATGAGGTAATATTTTTGCCATAAGTTTACCAAGTAGATGTGAAAGTAATTGAGCAACAAGAACACCAATAATTAATGGTGATGTTCTATAGAAAAAAAATTGATTAACAAATGAAAGAATACAAGTAAATGTTAATCCAAGAAGCCATGAACGAAATGTTAAAACCGACATAGTTGGATCATCTTTATTCGAAACATTTGCAGCTACTTCCTCATAAGATGATTGTTCATTTTGATTATTATCATATAATGGTAAAGAACTATTGCATGGATTAATGTCAACCGTTGAACTATCTTTATGAAATGATACTTGTAAATTATTGTTATGATTTGAATATTTATTAAATTGTTTAATATCATTATCAGTATCATCTGTTAAAAATTCTTGATTATCTTGACCATGTATATTTTGATCATCTATTGAATTTTGATGTTCATTTTCTATGTCTTGATATTTTGATGGAGAAGAATTTGACATTTTTAGTAAGAATTAATCATATAGTCTATTAATAAAATAGTACATCATATTTTATTGATATGTATCAGTAAATATTTTTCGATGCTATCATAATAAGGAAACTAATGAAACAAATTTTATGTGACGTCTATTTATCACAAACAGAGTCTACTGGAAATGGTCACATGCACAACTAGGGGAGGGAAGTTACCGTTACCGATGCGTTACGTTACCAGGTAACTAGTAACTTTTGCGTTACTAGTTACCGGGTAACGGTAACTGTGCGTTACTTGGTAACGGTAACGGGTAACTCCAAATCTCTTCCATCCTCACGCAAAGGTTGTGTTTCCCAAATTTTCAGGTCCTATAGGGGTACCCTTGGGTTCTCAAGTCCTATATTATGGGGGTACCCTTAGGTCCTTAAGTCCTTTATTATGAAGGTACGCTTAGGCCCCCATGCCCTATATTATGAGGGTACCCTTGGGTCCTTAAGTCCTATATTATTGGGGTATCCTTGGGTCCTCAAGTCCTATATTATGGGGGTACCCTTAGGTCCTCATGTCCTATATTATGGGGACACCTTCAGGTCCTTAAGTATTATATTATACGGGTACCCTTAGGTCCGAGCCGCTATGGCTGAATAGTTACGATGTTCGACTCATATCCACAAGATAGTGTGTTCGAACCTCGGCACCATCATACATAGAATGACCTTAGACAAGTCACTAACGACTGTAGTGTCTCGGACCATCCATCCGATAACATACTGATTACATTGTCGACATACACAAAAAGCCTTTATAGCTCGTATGTGGTTAGTCAGCATGTATGGGGAGCTTAAGCGATTAAGCGAGAAGAACTCTGAGTCAGGCCGGCCTTCTGCTCAGAGCTGTAACTAGTACTAGTTGCAGGAAAAATATCGGGCCTTCGAAACTGTCCTTGGACAGTACCACACACTGAAAGGTAGCCGAAAGGCAGGGGTATTCTTCTTCTTCTTCCTTAGGTTCTCATGTCCTATATTATGGGGGTATTCTTAGGTCTTTAAGGCCTATATTACGGAGGTACTTTTGGGTCCTCATCTTCTATATTATGGGGGTACCCTTGGGTCTTCATATCCTATTATATGAGGGTATCCTATTCGGCAGACCATGAAGACTTATGGGTACCAGTATAGAATAGGTACCCCCCATAATATAGTCCTTGACGAGCAAAAGGTACTCCCATAATATAGTCCTTGACGAGCTAAAGATACTCCCATAATATAGTCCTTGACGAGCTAAAGGTACTCCCATAATATAGTCCTTGACGAGCTAAAGGTACTCCCATAATATGGGACATGAGGATCTAAAGGCGCTCCTTAATATAGAACTTGAGGACCTAAAGGTACCCCATAGTATAGGACATAAAAACCTAAAGATACTTACATAATATAGGACTTAAGGATCTAAGGGTATTCCTACCATGTAGGACTTGAAGGCCTAAGGGTACCCGCATAGGATAGCTTTTGAGGACTTATGGGTACTCTATACGATAGACCATGAGGACTTATAGGGTCCCCCCGTACTAGAACAATTCCAATTCTTGGAATTGTTGCATCGCTAGATCGAAACCCGAACCAAACTCAAACTTCCAAATAGTTTGGGCTCGGATTTGGGTTTGGTGCATGCGTAATCGGACCTAGGGGTGGGAAGTTACCGTTACCCGGGAATTACGTTACCGGGTAACTAGTAACTTTTGAGTTACTAGTTACCGAGTAACTAGTAACGCCGGAGTTACCAGTTACCAGGTAACTAGTAACTTCGAAGTTACTAGTTACTTTTGGTAGGTAACTTGTCTAAAAAGTCGAGATATCGCTTCCTAATGACTGAATATCATCTATTCATCACTCAATTAAATTACGAGTTACTTGGTAACTAGTAACTCCTATGTGCGTTACTAGTTACTCGGTAACTCGTAAGCTGAATAGGTACTGTAATGATGGTATTCACTCATTAGGAAGCGATATCTCCACTTTTTAGACAAGTTACCTACCAAAAGTAACTAGTAGCTCCGAAGTTACTCGTTACCTGGTAACTCCAGCGTTACTAGTTACCTGGTAACGTAACGATAAATTCCTCCCCTACCCTTATAATATAGTACTTAAGGACCTGAAAGTTCTCCCATAATATACGACATGAAGACCTAAGGGTACCACCATAATATAGGACTTGAGGATCCAAGGGTACCCTCATAATATAGGACTTAAGAACCCAAGGGTATCCCCCATAATATAGGACATGAGGACCTAAGGGTACCCCCATAATATAGGATATGAGGACGTAATGGTACCCCCCTAATATAGGACATGAGGACGTAATGGTACCCCCCTAATATAGGACATGAGGACCTAAGCGTACCCCCATAATATAGGACTTGAGGACCCAAGGGTACTCCCATAATATAGGACTTGGGGACCTAAGCGTACCCGCATAATATAGGACTTGAGGACCTAAGGGCACCCCCATAATATAGGATATGAGGACCTAAGGGTACCCCCATAATATAGGACATGAGGATCTGAAGGCACCATAATATAGGACTTAACGACCTAAGGCTCCCGATATATCCCAATTTATAGAACCTCAAAATTTGGGAAACACAAGCTTTGCGTGAGGATGGAAGAGATTTGAAGTTACCAGTTACCGTTACCGAGTAACGAAGAGTTACCGTTACCCGGTAACTAGTAACTCCTGCGTTACTAGTTACTTGGTAACGTAACGGTAACTTCCCTCCCCTATGCACAACTTAATGATTCATACTAGAGTTGTACGGAACAAACTTTCTCATGTCCCGAATCTTGAATTGTCCCGTTAACTGAAAGATGCTTGACTACACAAAGTGCAATAGCCGACCAATTGCTTTTTACTCGCTTAGCTGCGATGATTAGGGCTAGTGCTTTAGTATTACTTTTATAAAATAAAGATAACATAAAGGGATAAAGGATACTTTTACAAGAGATTATATGACTGAAAGAGTTCTAGAACCTAGGGATGATCCTTTTAACTTAACTTTAAATTAAGTTTAAAGTTTTTACTTAACACTTAATATTAATAAAAAAGAGTTTAGCGATCACCACTTTATTTTTTAATATTAACTATTAAAAAATAAAGTGGTGATCACTAAACTCTTTTTTATTAATATTAAGCGTTAAGTCTGGCATCCCACCGACAATCCGTAGAAAAAGAGGAACGTCATTTGCAGAAAAAAGAGGAAAAACAAGAGGCGCATCTTTTTCACTTCTGAAATGCAAGCAAAGGCTACTACGAGGTTCAAAAGTCAATAAATTAGAGCGCCGTTAATCTAGATCCAATACAAACTCGAAAGATGAAAGCAATTTTCAGTTATTGACATTTGCGGTCGTGTTTTTTTTTCTACGGAGCTCAGAAAAAGAGAACTACAAAAAATAGACAAAAAGGACAGGGTCGATTTCAAAAGTACTTGACTGTGATATCATTTTTACCCGAATGCTTGTAGACAAAGAAAAAGAAATTAAAAAGAAAACCACTGAATATTCAGAATATGTTCAGTATATAAAAGCACGGGAGCATAAAGAGCTAACATAAACAAAAAATATTTAATAGGACGTATATATTCATAAGACAAGAGAATACCACAAATTCAATTCAAAACAAAGTGTTCAAAGTTTCTTTCTCAAATCTGTGACAAGAATTTCTAACGCGTTATCGGAAGTTCTTCTTGAGAACACAACAATACTAATTCTGATCAATTATAAAGATTTAATGTAACTCGGAATTCAATTGAAATTGAGTAATATACAGGAAAAATTGTACTTGAAAACAATTTGAATCTCAAGTACACTACAGTTCAGTTTTGATGATTTTTCATAAAATTCCTCTAAGAGTAGGAAAACTGGACCTCTCTAAAGTTACATGATGCGGCGAGTTTTTACAAAATTTGTTAGAGGTTATCACTAATTCATCTTCGAAACAACCAGAGATGCAGAACCTACTGCTGCGTGCGAACTGGCACTTGGGAAACTTTTTTTCTCTGGCGAAAATTTTCGGAGCCTTATCGGAAAAAATCATGTTTAAGTTCATACTCGAAGCTGCCTTGTTGTTCCACGCAAGCATCCAATTTTCAAACTTTTATGTTTGCACGTCCACAAGTCTATCGCAATTTATTTTATTATTACTAAATTTTGCCGTCAATAAATATTGATTTTAGCTAATCCGATCAAATATCAAGCCAAAAATAAATTACTAAAAAATATTTCGGATTGGAATTAGTTTCTATTTGGTTCTCGCAAGGCGTACTCAAGGTCAATTTTCAACCTTGTTATTGACCTTATTGGTTAAAAGCGTATTGATTCACCTAAAGAAGTCATCATTATTGACTATTTTTCTTTAACATCTAGCTTTTCTTAAAAAAGAAGCCAAAGAGACGGAGTAGGAAGCCAGGTGTTAAGTAAGAACTTTAAACTTTATTTAAAGTTAAGTTAAAAGGACCACCCCTCGGTCCTAAAACACTTTCAGACACATAATCTCTTGTAAAAGTACCTTTTATTCCTTTATTTTATTTTTATCTTTAAAGATAAATAAATCCTTTATCTTTGACAAATAAATGATAAGGTTTGTTTCATCTCTTAATCTTTATTTTTTAAAGATAAAGGATTCATGTATCTTTATCCTTTATTATAAAAGATAGTAAAGATAAAGGGATCCCTTTATCTCTATTTGCTAAAGATAAAGGATTCATTTATCTTTATCCTATATTATAAAGAATAATCAAGATAAATGGTCACCCCCCTAGCGATAACGAATTCCTCTTCTTGTAGCATTAGTCATGGCCCAGGTCAGCCACTCAGTCTTCATATCTATTAATCATTTCGAAATAAGACAAAGTTTGCTGAGATTGTGATGAGTGCATATTTGAAATCTTTTTTTAAAACTCAATTCTGTTCGAAGGTTATAAAAATGTGGAAAATGATAATTAACAGCTGAGAGTTTTCTTATGTGGCAATAGTTAGTTCTGATTCATTATTTCTTAACTTTTTAGCTGAGTGGAGACAGCTGAACGCGACTGAAAGTCATTAAGGCCCTCTCAAAAATCGATCTCAATCTAGGAATCTTCAAATGACATAATATTTTTAAGATATGTTGGGACTATGGCGGAAAAGCTATGGTAAAATTTTCAGCCCGATGTCATGACTTTTGAGGGAGATATTAACCAAACAAGGGTGTGAGTAACAATGTTGGCTTAACTCACATCCACACCTACACCCTTCACTAGACTCCGATTCTTCTCAAAAATGCATTTAACATGTGTGTAAAATACAACCAATCGTTCGTGCAGATGAGAAAATCGCTGATGAAGAAATCTAATCGATTCTGAAGCAGACAATGACCAACGTGCCGATCAAAATACCGAAGATGTAGATGATGATCAAATGTGAAACATTTGTGTTTGTTCTGAATTTTATGCATTTTCCATTTTCATTTCAATAGAAGTTGTTGCTTTTTTGCAATATTCATGAAAGACTAAAGAATATTTTCCTTAAAAGTGTATCATAGTGCCGAGCAAAAGTAAATGACATATGGAACAGATGAATCTTCAAACAAGGGATGTTGCAGACTAAATTTACTACAAATAAAAAACAATTGTCTTTTTTTCTCGGAGACATCACACGAATTTTACTCGAGTTCTATTCCTCTTGGTAAAAAAGATCGGCATCTTATTTGATTATTCATAGTTATGATAGAAAATATGTTTTCGGAACTTTCATAAGTGAAAAAGATGATGCCATTAGATCCAATACTGTCAAAAACATGGGTTCTCATGCATAATTTGCGTTTATTCCGCATGTAAAAACGCTTGTTTTTCAATGTATTAAAAACTATGTAACGTTTCGAGAGAAAGTTCAAATAATGTGAAAATTATGTAATAGATAGATCCAGCGCTGGGCTACTTTTTCGTATAATTTGAGCTCATGTTGCTACTGAGAACATGGAGGCCATGTATCGAAAAAGATATTCATCTGACAATATAGATAGAAAATTTTCCAATTCGTGTCCCTCATATGTGTCATTAGTGACTCCTCGCACCGTCCTATGCAATGGTGAATACTTCAGCTCGATAACTACGTTTCTCGAGTTATTCAAAAAATGGTGGCTGACTTTTGGAAAAAAATTCAATGTTAGTTTATGAAATTTATATTAAAACTCTCATTGTGTAGTTTTGTATCTAATGAAAATTGCCTTAGAGAAAATTAAATTTCTGAAACTCTATACATTTTAGCATGTTCTTTCATCAATGAATTTCGAGAGCGAAATTATACAATGAATTATCCATATCTATTGGTCAGTAGTCTCATTATTTTATTCAATAAAACAAACGATGATTCCATGACGTATGGCATTGTCTGTTTTTTCCTTTTCCTTCTCTCTTCTGCGTTCGGACTAACCATAAAAAAGTTCTTTGTCTATGTGTTAGTCAGCTCGTGCGACTGTCGATTATATGAAACATTTCGTCCATTCTGATAACAACCAATATGCCAACGAATATCACAGATATACATATTCATGTTTGTTTGTTTTTTTAGAGATGTCCGAACTAGGTTTATGTACTGATATAACATGTGATGATAAAATGAAAGAATTATTTGAATGTTATTGCTGTGTACGTCTTGTTTGTTTAACTCATTTAATTACACATCTTGAAATAAAAAAGCTTGTTAGCGCAGCTCCTGCGGAGCTGAAATGTGGAACTCACATATATTCTTAAATCTTAATATTCTAATACATCATATGTAAACTGAAAAATTCCGTGTACACTGCAGTTGTTTTCATTGATAATCAATGATAAGAGTGAAACTTTGTTATTTATTTCTTCATTTAAAACAGAAAATTTTTTTTTGTTGGAGAGCGCCCTATTTTTATTCTGCATTGTTGCTATTCGCTCATTATCTTTCATTTTTTTTAATTCGTTTTTCGTAATTCAACATTCTTATTATTATAATCATTGAATTAATTAGCAAACAAATCTGTTTCACATATCCATGATATCTACAGAAGATGTTATGCACTATTATATATATTAATCAGCTCACAAACACTGATGTTGATTATCTTTCAAAATTATAACTTGATGAATTTTTCAACAAAAATTGAAAGTCTGACGCTTGTTATCCTTAATTGCTAAGGTCTGTAATGGGGGGGGGGATATGTGAGTTCCACAAAATGATACAATTACCCAGGTATATACTTGATGTCTTTGCAAATATGGAAGTTTCTTGCACAAAAAACATTTGTAGATTACGTTTGCATTGATTCTTGGTGGCATTGTTATATCGATTTTTTTCTAAAGTGCAAATATCAAGAGTAAAACAAATCAATAAATAAAGTACATTGAAAAAAAAAGAAAAAAAACATTTTTCTTGAATACTTCTAATCTTGTTGCCATTTTTTTGTTTGAAGAATGTGTAAATAAATGAATGTTAAAAAAAAGCAAGGTTATGTTTGTCTTTCTTTCTTTTTATTCTGTTTTTTTCTTTGTCTTTGCTTGATTGCAACTCATCAAGACTCTTTTCCCGTTTTTCGTCTTTTTTTCTAACGTATTTGCAAGCTTAAATGACTGGAAATGCGTTAAAATCAATCCATCATTGTTCATTAAGTTTCAGAAATGTTTTTCTTCCACTTTTCGAGAATCGATTCTCAATGTCAAGTTCCATCAATTTTTTATTTAAATAATGTAACAAGAACCTTAGCCTTTTGGATGGGATGTGGAAGGGTGCCCGTATCTCTGTATGGCCACATATAACCCACATTCACACCCACACCCACCCACCCTTATATGTGTTTCAATCAACATGCACTGATGCTCTGCTCTCGAGATCACGACTACACAATATATGGAGTTTGGATGTGTAACGTCGAGAGAAAAGATGCTTCGCACCTTAAAAATATGATAACAGCAACCAGTCTCTTATATTTATCATTATTGCCCATACATGGGTTTGTTGCGTTATCTATTGTTAACAGAGTGCAGTTGAGAGTTTTAACATGCACTGCTTCTTCTTTTAGAGCTAGTCACAATCATCATCACAACTACACTTAAGTGCGTATTGTGTTTGAGCTTTTCTCGTTCGGGCTGCATTATGAATATATTAAAGCTAATCTTCTATATAATTTACCGTGTTATTACAGATGTGATTACGAGTCTTCAATCATATTGGTTTCATTCTCCCAAAAATAACACTGCCATCCAATGTGAAATTTTGACGATTTTGTATCGCCTAAAGTTAACCGAAGGCAGTACGACCGGAGATTGCGATTTTATGTGGCTGCATCAAAAATTTGATGATGCCGAAAAGGTGCTGAAATATAACCCAAATTGGGTACTTTACACGATTTCTGAGCGATATGCCTATTTTACACTTTTACCGAAACCAATTACAGAATATAATGTGAAAAATGCACCGTTTCTTTGCTTGAAACAGTTTACTGATGCTCTCAAATTAGTTCGAATGCCAATAAAGTAAGTTTACGCTAAATTTAAGTAAACATCTTGAAATCTCTATGCATTGCGATTCATTATATTTAGAGATTTTTGCACTTTTGCTTGCCATTCACTAGGACCTATGAAAGGAAAAGTAATTATGTTTACCAATTGTCCGAGAAGTGGTTCTACACTGATCACTCAAATGGTTCAGGTTGGCCAGCAAGTTCAAACCATTGCGGAACCTCTTCCTTTTACAAATCTAGCGATGATGTATAATGAACACATATGGTCTCCGGACATCTTCAATACTGTACTTCGATCAGTTTTTTATACATATTGCAAAGATATGACAAAAGATCAGATTTACATAATAAAACTGGATTCTTTCGGTGCATCCTTGGTTGGCCACGTACACAAACTTTTCCCTGAAATTCCACACCTATTTCAATTTCGTGAAAATGTGGAAAAGGCCACGATTTCTATATATAAAGTAATGGATGCGGCGTTCTCTTGGAAAGAAACTGTTTACTTACAATCAAACTTTCCTAAATTAGGAAAATGGCTTTTTGGATATGAACTAGAGAAAAGTACTGTTGAAAAAGTTAAGCCAGAAAGTTTATTGGAACGAACTTTTATTATTTTCGCTGCTCCTTATGCCTGTTTTCTGAAAAATAGACATTGTTATGCTCTTCCAGAAGTAACATATGAAAATTTAATATCAAAACCAGAAGAAACTATTGGTGCAGTTTTTGATGTTTGTGGTATTTCAAAATCACTAATTCCAGAAGCACTGACTGCACTGAATAGAGATTCTCAAGCTGGAACTCTTTTAAGCAGAGATAAAATGGCACAAATTAAAAGTCTTGAACTTAGCAAGTTGGATCGAAAAAGACTAAATGAAATAGCAAAAAGAATGGAATTACCTGAATCTATATTCTATTTTTAAGAAACTTGAACTTACCAGCTGCAGTATTTATGATTTTAATTAATTTTGTGTTTCTTTTTGAATGTGTAAAATGTCATTGTGATTATAACGGGTATGCCAGAATAAATGTCCTTCTATGCGTTTCTTCACTATCTCAGTCAAAAATCATTGCGGCAACCTAATTTTTTTTGAAAATGCAGAATTTAATTTTCTACAACAGTGATCTTTATTTACTAATGTAAGTAGTTTCCATCATTCTTAAAAACTATTAACAAACAGCTAGTCCAAGAATTACAGCTTTCAAAAACAACGTCGAGCCTTATTTTTTGGGTGTGGGAGTCATTGAACGGAGGATCCAATCTCACATCCATCCAAACCCACACGCTTCAGACGAAAACTAACACCGGCACACAGCACGTCCACATTCCACACACACCGTCATTCAAACTTGATTTCTGCTCATGAAGAGGGTGTGGGTGTGGATACGAGTATGCATGATCAATTTAGCCACCCCCACATCCACGTTCACACCCACCTACACTCTCTAGCCACCCTCTATTAAAAAAAACTAGCTTTTTCAACTATCAACCATTTCGATGGAGAAATGGGTTCGAAAAATCTACGGCAATCACTGCATATCATTAGCAGTCACCAAGAATTGAGAAATCAGCTACTTCCCTTGAACTTTTTATCTATTTCTCTGTTTTCATACTTTTATTACAGAAGTCGATTATATCGTGCAGAATTTCATATTTCTGACGGTCGTAGTTCTTTCTTGATAGCCAGCGTCTTAGAATGCATTGGTCTTAGATTATTATGTTTTGCTCGTCTTTCGAACAAGTCTCTGAATATTACTTTTTATTACTAGAAACTTATTGTGCACTTTATTCTAAAATATAGACTAAAAAGCCACTCTATATGGTTTTCAAAATTGTATATTGTGGACAATAATACCTTACATTCAACATTTCAGACAATTTATTAAATGATTCATAGTCAATCGGGATCCTAAAAATAAAGAGTGTACACATATCAATTGATCATAAAAAAGAGCAATATTTTGGGCTATCGATAAACATCTTATATCAAATGTGTAGATCTGATCTGAATTTAGCTGTAGTTAGTCTAATTCCAATCGACATAACATATACTATTTGAAAAATTCGAGATGACTGATGTCGTTTCATTGAATTCGATGAGAACTATTTTTAGATAGTAATGTTGTATTGCATGGATATGATCCTGTTTTGAAAAGAGAAATATGCCAATTTGTAGAGCCCATTTTGGATACATGAAATATATTATTTTTGTTTACTTCGTGTGCACTTCAAGAAAAATTTAGAGAGACATGAAAAAGTTAATGCTTGGGCAGCTTTCAAACACATCTCATTACTCAAGAATTGATCAGATTGATCTCAAAATTTCGTTTACTTTATTAAGTCGATTTCGTCGTTTTTGTAAGTAGAAAAAAAGAACCAGAACATAAAACTTATTCATGCTGCTCAGTGTGACATATCATAGGTGTTCACTGAATTGTTGCGTTATATGACGAATAGAAAAATAAACGGAAAATTCAAAATAATATGTACGGAAATTAAGCCACGTAAACATCATTCTAATGCTTTCATTTCTAAGCTGTTCATCAGCGCTTGATTTATCGTCACTATCGTTCGTCTTCTACTGGTAAATAGTTAGACAATAAAAGTCTTCTTTCAGTTGGACAATTAAACTTGAATAATTTCTTTGCTTTGAAGTTAAAAATTATACACAACGTTAAAATATCAACTGAATCGATACACTCTCGCATGCATCAGTAAACACAGTGGGAACCACTTGATTTCTAATTCAACGAAAATACAAGAGAAAATAGACAACATAAATAATTCATTCATCATATTTTTCGTTTGATCTCGCCTGAAATCAACATTGTTTCATGCGATATATCAGCATGATTTTGAGTTAAACCTTTGAAAACGGCTGAAGACTAGATAAATGGTTCTTACTCAGAACTTGCAGTGATTCTTTGTTTTCTGTATTGTAACAAGTAAATACAAGTTTTTTTTTGAGTTTATGGGATCACTATGTGATTTATAGTCATTGCTTTAACTAAATATGTCAAGCTAGAGCATGTTAAGAAGTGTCGGTAGCTTATTCTCAAATCATCACCGTGACTATACATAATCCATGCAGTTAGAAATGTGAAATTGATGTAATGAAACAACTCCTACTTTTCTGCTATTTAACACATTTTTTACAGTCCAAAATGTTCGAAAAATAGTACTTTAAGAGTGCCTCTTTTCCTATGTTTCAATCCGGTTATAATAGTTTTCAGAAAAACATAATAACGTGTTAAACTTCGTAATTTTGGACATTTTTGACTATGTGCAATGCGGTTCAATGGAGAGCGTTTTAATGCAATATAAATATCGGGTGTTTACTGTGTTGATAGAGGTAACATATTAAAACTACTGAAGAATAGCTACAACCCACATAGCTTAATATTACAAGAAATAGTAAAATGCAGTGTTTACTAATAAATAATAGACTATACGTACCATCGATTCATAAAAGATCATGGATTAAGGATCATAGAATAGTAGTCTGGTTTCATTCCCTTCTAAAGAACAGATTCATTGCCGTGTTAATATTAATAATTGACTAACAGCTTTAGAGTGAAATTTTTTTAAAGCTTTATTTTATTTTTCAAATAGTGAAAAAAAATCTGTCACATTGAAGAATAAAGATATGACGCTATATTTAAAACGGATGAGAGACTCAACACTGGAGTTATATTTTTGACATGATTTTTCCACTATTTGGAACATACAATAGAGCATTGAAAAAAATTTCATTCTAAAGCTGTTAGTCAATTATTAACATTAACATGGCAATGAATCTATTCTTCGGAAGGGAATAGAACTAGACTACTATTCTATAATCCTTAACCCATGATCTTCTATGAATCAATGGTACGTATAGTCTATTATTTAATAGTAAACAATGCATTTTACTATTCCTTGTAATACTAATGTATTCAGGCTGTAATTATTCTTCACTAATTCTAACGACAGTTCTCATTAATTGGATTACATTAAAAACTTCTTGAATTAAAAAAGCGAATCGTATATCACTGAGTTTTCTGCTATAGAAGAACTATTGATCTAAATATCTAGCACAAAGAATGAAGAGCGTAATAATAATAGATGTTTTTTTCTTGCTACCCTATATATCCTTGGTTAATGCTCGTTCATGTCTACACAATTCATATATCATTTCAATCGCAAAAATCATTCAGATATCAAAATATTACTACCAAAACGCAAACACATACAGAGATGACTGAAAAATTTCTTAATTTTTTATCTATCTAATGAACTATTCTTTCATTGACTATTTCTTACTAGCAATTCAGCACTTTTTTGATAAAGATTGAACACTTGTAAAATTTTTTATAAATATTATATCTTTTTTGTGTTCAATAGGAAGAACATTTAATGATTTCAGTTTCAATTACTACTCTTCCACAATAATAAAAAATTATTTTATTTTACAAGCGTTTCGAAAGCATCTACTTTCTTCTTCAGTGTTTTATGTTACAATAAGAGAACAAAATGACAAATGTACAAGTGTTCATATTTTTCTCTTTTTTCCTTCTAATCATGGTATGAAAGAAGATGAAATTGAACTCATCTTGTCCAGTATTATCTCCTTGTTTTTTGTTCCATACTCGTATTAGAAGAAAAAGAGAAAAATATTAACACATGTATCATCTGTCATTTTATCCTTTTATTGTAACAGAAAACATTGAAGAAGAAATCAGATGTTTTCGAAACGTTTGTTCCCTCGACTATAGGGATGATCGTATGAAAAAAAATAAGTCTGTGGCTGTCCTTGTAACACAGGTCAAAGGTCATATGTCAAAGATAGAGAACGAAGGATCATGAACCGTAATTCGGGATATTGAAATGTAGTTAAGGTTAATTAAGGAGTGTTTTGATGAAACTTTACTATAGGTTATCGATGGCCAGGATTCCTAATCTGAGGTCGGAGTTTATATGTTAAAAAGGTTGACGAAAGTAAGTAGAGTTCGCGGAATTGGAATCTGAAATCAGTTTTTCAAAATTTTGAGTTTGACTTTTTCAGTGAAAGAAAGAGTTTTTTGATATAATAACTATATTTTAGAAAAGTTAGGGAGCCTGAATGGGTGTCCGGGTATCCAACTCTTTACTATAATGCTGGAAATTTGCCGCTATAATTTTACAATCAGGGTAAGGTTTTTTAAGGAAACAATAAGTTTTCGGTGCATTGAGCATTGAGTGGTATGAAATGGAATGAGCTTGTGATCTGGCAATGATTTGGAGAGTAACATATCCAAATATGTTAGTGGGATTACATGGCCGACTATCTTACTTGTGTAAACTATATCTGAGGTTTTCCCATAGTATGGATATGGGGTGTAGGTGTGAGATAGAATAAGATCAATTCACTCAGGTACATACTTACAGCGACAGCGCCAACCACACCATAAATATTCCTAATATCCAAATTCAAGTTTAAGTCAATGCGACATGATTGCCATCGTCAGGGTGAGTGTGGGTGTACGATTGTTTTCAACAACACCCATAATCACCCACACCCACAGAATAACTGACTTCAGATTCGGATTTCTGGATATCGATAACCTATTGCAAAGTTTTATCAAAACGTCGAAAAGGCTCAAAATGAAAAAGCTCGTTTCTGATTGGTCCATTTTCTGATCAATGAAAGCTCAGATGGAAAAACTAACTTCAGATTCGAATTCTTCGATCCCGATTTGCTTTCGTCAACCTTTATAACAGAATCGTTATTTTCTTAATAAACTCTTTTCTTGGTGAAAACGGGCTTGAACTGATAACCGTACCTACGATTATCGTCACCGTTGCATGCCTACTCCTATCTCTCGATATGGGTCACTTTTCAAAATGTTGACTAGCTCGCCTGATGTATTTTTCGACGCTAAAGGATAAATCCAAATTGAAGTCCTACTTGAAAGAAAACTTAGAGTTGTCAAGTGCATATATCATATAGAAAAATGTCGAAAAACACGATGATGAATACGGTAGTAGAATATCTTGTATAGCTTAGATGAAGCCGTGTTGCTAATTGAATTTCAATCATTTTGTACTCATTGCATAGCTCTTTCTTCACTCTATCCAAAACCGTAAAGAAACCTCTGGTCCCGTTAGAGTTAACAGAGAAATACAGCTTGCAATGAGAAAGAGAACAAACGAAACTGCGAAAAAAAAACGGTAGGGTCAATCTAATTTTGAGACTGTTGTATTTACAAAATAGAGAGTAAGGAGAAGGTGATATATACAGTTTTGTAGAGCGAACTTTGCTCTATCAAATGGAATATTACTCGAAAAGATTATGATAATTTACTGTGGACATAATGGCCAAATACTGACATACCAAATTTTGCAAGAAAAATAAAAATATTTTTCAAAGCCTATTGAGGGTGCATTCAGTATGTGCTTCATAACTTTTCAAAGGTAAGTCAGAATGAGCTAAAATTTTGGATTTACAGATTTGTCACTTTGCTCTTTCATTTCCAATCATAAAATATAGGGGTCAAAATTTTCGAGCGTATGGCTCTATTGAAAAATTCTCGATTTTCTCGTGGACCGTCTGTTAAGTATTTCCTAAAATTAGAGAAAAGTTTCAACTCGACCGGACATACTGTGCTTTCAAAATGGTGACAATTTTTCTCCATTATTTTTGTCACAAGCTCATTTTCCAGAAACAGCGAAATAAAATACAACTTTAATGGTTTTAGCGAAAATGTTTCATTTTTTCAGATCTTTTTGACTTCTGTAGTTATATATTGATTTTTTAAATATGTCAAGTGAATACAGGACGCTTCGAAGCATATATAGGATAGAAAAAAACTAAAAATGAAAGATTTTTAAATTTTGGGTTGGGGAAAGAGTCCTCTCAAGACACAGCCATCCGGCGAACTTATAAGAAGTGAGGTGGGGCGCAGAACGGCAGCTCCATTCACCGCACAGCAAAGTTTCTTCGGCAGCCTGGCTGCCAGAAAATGAGTGATGCCTGCCGATCTGGCGCGGGCGCTACAATCTCTGTTTTCTGGATAATAGTATGTCTCATCTTGTATTGTTTATCCTACATAACCCCTATAGTTTTCAAACAATAGCATTCCAAACATCACGTTATATTTAATCGGATAATTTTTGGCAATAAGTATGATTTCTCGTTTGATTTTCTCTGTCAAGATTTATCCGTTTTCTTGCAGTGTATGTATCTAAGAAATTCAAAATTATTTAGTTAATTTAACATGTTCGAGGCGATGTGGCCCACCGGTAGGCCACACTATAACAAGTGTTCCATTATGAATGGTCGAGTTTTGTATTTAGTTATTTTTATTATCTAGTACGTTTATTTTAAAAACAAAATATGCCATGAGATGCAGCGTGAAAAGCTGTACAATTGACATTATATCGCTTATTTTGTAGTTGCACTTTTTGTTTTCAAAACCAGAAAAATCCTGTGCGATCAATTTGTACCCTTGCGAAAACATCATTTTCTACAAGAACGAGAAACTCTTCTTTTCTTATTTCCTCTTTTTATCACCTGATATGTTTTCTTTAAAAAAGCATATATACCAGAAGATGCAGCACGAAAAGCTCTACAATCTAAAAAGTAAGGCTGATTTTAATTGTGCACTTTTTGTCTTCAAAAGCAACAAGTGTCTTGTGCGACCAGTTGTTGAAAGAGTGAAAACTGATCGCACAGGATTTTTCTGATTTTGAAAACAAAAAGTGCAACTACAAAATAAGCGATATAATGTCAATTGTACAGCTTTTCACGCTGCATCTCATGGCATATTTTGTTTTTAAAATAAACGTACTAGATGATAAAAACAACTAAATACAAAATTCAACCATTGATTATGGAGCACTTGTTATAGTGTGGTCGACCGGTGGACCACGTTGCCTCGAATGTGTTAAATAACCCATATCACCATGAAATGTCTGGTTCGATTTATAATATAAACGCACTTTCAGAAGATTTTGATCACTTCGACAATAAATGATGAAACAGTATAAATGCATCATTTAAATTATTTATAATAAAAGTAGTAAATAGCGACTGCACGGTAAGGGTAGGAAAAGAATTTTTTTTCATGTAGCATTTATAATAAATGCAATAAATGAAAGCTTTTCTATAAGTTGAAGAACATCATGGTTTTTTTATCTTCGATTTTTCACCTCATCGAACTTTTACTATCACACTACATACTGGAACCTTCAGTTATTGAATACGTGAACATAACTTCAATAATGGAATTCGAGTTTCAAGTATTACACTACTGGTTATATGTTTTCTCATTTAATAAAGCTCTACAATCAAGGGGGAAACAACTGACTTTATGACTTAAATGATCTAAATGATCTAAAATGATCTAAATGACTTTAAGTCATAAAAGTCAGTTATTTCCCCCTTGGTTCTTGTGGTTAGTTAGTGTCTATGGGGAGCTCAAGCAATTGGGTGTAAGAACTCTGTGCCCAACCGATCTTTTATCCAAAGCTATATCTAGTATTAGTTGTAGGAAAGATATCGGGTACCAAGCCCGCCACTACACAGCACTCTATACTGAAAGGTAGGGATATTCTTCCTTCAAAAAAATATTTTCTATTTCAATTTATAGATTTAAATGAAACTAAAACTTCATTTGTTTTTACTTTTAGGTCATGATATTCGTCGTGATTATTCAGAACTTGGTATTTTATTATCTAATATCATTCTCTAATAAATCATCTTAATTATTAATTTAAGGTCAATTACGACTTAATTATCCGAAAATAAATATAACATTATTAACAGCAACAGCAACATTACGTGTACAACAAGACATTCTTCAACAACTTAATATAACTGGAAATTATAAATTATTTACTCAATCATTTAATCGATCAAATCTTATTTATGAATGTATCTCAAAAGAAAGTAATGATCTAGTACTTAGTCAAATAGTAAATTTAATTAAAATAAATTATCAAAATCAATGTGGTATTATTTATTGTTTTTCACGTGTTGAATGTGATCGAACAGGTAATAAAAAAAGAACAAAAGAGACAAAAATTTTCACAAAAATAAATTAATATCTATTCTAGCTCAATATTTATTAGCTCATAATATTCATGCACTTTCTTATTCATGCTGGTTTAAATGATTCATTATGATAAACAATACATATGAGATGGATTAATGATGAATGTCAAGTAAAATAGTTTGATAAATATAAATATATAATTTGAAAGATTTTTTTTTTGTTTAAGGTTATTTGTGAAACAGTAGCATTTGGTATGGGTATTGATAAAAATAATGTTCGTTTTGTTATTCATTTTTCTATGCTACAATCAACTGAAGTTGAATATATATATATTGATTTGAATACAAGAGAAATATTTTCGTTTTATTAGGGTTATTATCACGAATCAGGTCGAGCTGGACGTGATGGTGAAATTGCTAATTGTCATCTTTTCTATTGTTATGAAGATTTTATTAAAATGAAACGACTTATATTATGTATGAAATAATTTATTAAGCTCTCGTCTCTGTCAAAAATCTATTTTCGTCTTAGAACAGCCGATTTCTCTGAAAATTTCATACATTAAGGATCGAAAAGTAGATTTCCATGTGTCCCAGCTTTCTCTTCCAAACCGAATTTCTTTATCAATTTTTTTTGGTATCAATTTTGTTCAAAAAGATAGATATAGTTCTGTAAAAAAAACGACCCATTTTTCTCAAAAACTAAAGTCCAAAATAAAAATCCTACTCAGTTAAGTGGTAGAGCACGATTTTCTTTTCAATTGAAATCCTTTTTGAACTTCCTAGCATGTAAAATAGCTGCCAACTCTGGGATACACAAGTAGAAAAAAAAAAACTCGTTTTGAGATGTAATGGAAAATCAATGTTTCTTTTTAGTAGAATGGTAGAGGAAAATACGTCGTCTGTAGTCTACTATGTATTAACGATTATAGCGGATCAAACGAAGACTTGCGCATAGTTGTACTACAACGTTTAAAATAGACAAACGATAGGAACAAGAAAGAAATGACTATAAACGTGAAAGAATAGAGGTGAAGAAAGACAAAAGAATGCATACTTATGTCAGCAAGCTACTCTTCTGAAATAACAATGTCAAAATAATTGCATTATTAAGTGAACATTAATAGGAAAAGAAATATAGTATACGAGTTCACTTGTTCGAGGGCTTGCAGTACTTACTATTTCACATATTTTTGCTATGTTCTCCTCTATGGTAAACTTTAGAAAAGTTCAAGAGGCAACAATAACTAACATTTTCAAAAAAAAAACTCATTTTTCCTGATTCTAGCACCAATCAGTAAATTCCGTGTGAAACTATGAAAAAGTGTAAGAATTCGGAGTAGACAACGAGAGCTATCCAATCACATAAAAATCTCAATATCACGATTTTTGACAGGGAAGGAGCTCAATTAAAAATTTTCGATAAAAATTTTTCTTTAAGATGATGATGAATTAAAATGTTCAGTGCAAACAAAACAAGTTCGTATTAATATTAATCTTGTTTATGATTATTGTCTTAATAAAGTAATTTGTCGACGAACACAGTATGTTAATTAATAAGAGAAAATTTGAAAAAAATAATAATAATATTTTTTCTCTGTTGATTATTTTCAAAATAGACTTTTAGAATATTTTGGTGAATTATTTTCATCATCTGAATGTAAACGTATAATGTCAACTGAATGTGATAATTGTCGACAAGTATATAAAACATCATCTATTGATTGTACACGAATATCAATTGAAATTTTAAAATTAGTTTCGGATTTAAATCAAACAAATTCAATATTATCTTATATTATTGATATATTACGTGGAATTAATAATAAAACAATTCGAGATGCTGGTCATCATCGTTTACATGCATTTAATTCATGTCATCAATTAACTCGACTTGGTAAAGAACATATAGATAGCTTTTGTTTTGAGAATCGGATCTACTACTAGTGCAATTAAACTATCATTCGAGAATGTTTGGAGAGTAGAGTTAAGTAATGTAATCCAATTGATATTTTCAATTCATTCATTGTTAGTCATATGACTAGAAATATCCAGAATAGAGATTTGCGGAATCAAATTTTTTGGCTCCCGATTCCAATAATTTTAGTTTTTGGGCTTCAGTCTAGAGAAAACTATTTCAGCATTTATTCGCATTAAATTTAAAAAACTAGCACTTCGGAAATACTCATGTTTTGATCTATTCAGTCAATGAATGCCACTGGTTTTAGTTATCTTTCTTGAATTTTGTTTTAATGGAAGTGATTTATGAGAGAATTCGCTCCAAAACTATCAAAACATTTGACAACAATTTTTAGTTCTGATCTTCGTAGAGACCGACGGAGCAATGCTCCTACGAATATTATCGTTATTATACCACGTACTACAGGTCTGTGTCTCCGAAAAATAGATACTCGCCGTGCCGAAATTTTAAATTGTTTCTCTAGAAGAGAAAATATGAAGACACAAGGAGGGAAACAACTGACTTTATGACTTAAATGATCTAAATGATCTGCATGATCTAAAATGTTCTGAATGACTTTAAGTCATAAAAGTCAGTTATTTTCCCCTTGTTTACAGTTCATTTGTTGACTGTTTCATTATTTTCTATTTTTGTATTAATGAAATCAAAAAGAAACATTTGTTTTTCAGATAAGTCTACTGGTAACTGTGATTGACGCGATGGGTGACGAAGATGATAAAAAGTATTTAAAAAAATGTTTGAGAGATACCATTGATGCTGTTCATGAAACAATTGAACAAATACGACCAAATCAACAGAATTCTCAAGCATCAACCACTGCTATTCATTCATTTACATTGGATAAATCTGAAGATACCAAAATGGATGTGCTTAGAATGGAAATTGAAAATACGATTAAAAATAATGTAAAACACCTAAGTAATATTTGCCGTAATTACCTATTCAAATTTCTACAACAATATCACTACGATGAAAAAATAAAGAAATTTACGAATTCATTCAATATGAATAGTCTTCATCCATTCAAACATGATCTAGAAGCTGCATTAGCTTCAATAGATGCTTTTACAGCAGCATGGAATGGAGACAAAGATACAGTACTAGAGTTCGTAAACAAGTATCCAACACTTAAAGACAAACCTGGTCTACATGGAACAACTCTATTATATTCAGCAGCCAAAAACAATTGTGAGATGCTCGTCAAATATCTTATACAGGAAGCTCATTGTGCTGTAAATGCTCAAAATGAACAACAGCTTGAAGATGTATTGCAAATACATGTGTCAAGTACATATCGAAATGTA